TTGTTGTCGTTGTTGGCTATTGTGGTTGTTGGCTGTTGCGCGCGCCACGAGCGCAATAAATCGCACTCGAACTGAAACTAAAATTGCACCCCCGCAAAGTCAAGGGCATCGGTCGTGATGCGCGCGACGAGAGCGGCGGCGGGAACAACAATAACAACGGCTACCGCGACAACAAACAACCAACAACCAACAAGCACTAACCAACAAGCGTAGCAGCAGATGTTTGGATGGCTGTTTCGTATGTCCAGTGTCAGGAATCCCCCACACACGCCGGCCAAATGGTTCTGCACACACGCCCCTCAGCACGGGCAAAACAGTAGGCACACCCGCTCAAGCGCGCCCGCTTAGCACGCGCACGCCTCCCACATGATAAGCACACCCGCTCAGCACCGCACACATGCCTGCGAAGGTGCAAGCCTGGTAAGCACACCGGCTCAAGCAGGCCCGCTCAGCACTGCACCCACCCAGCACCGGCCACACCTGCTCAAGCGCTCCTGCTCAGCGCTGCCAAACGGTGGAGAAGGATATAGCTCGTCTCTGTCAGTGAAAAAGGGCTTCGGCGCAGCCGCGTAAATTGGGAAAGAGTTGAGTCTGCGACGCGTCGCAGTTGTAGTTGTAGTTGTAGTTGTAGTTGTAGTAGTAGTCGTTGTTGTTGTTGTTGCTGCTGCTGTTGTCGTTGTCGTTGTCGTTGTCGTTGTCGTTGTCGTTGTCGTTGTCGTTGCTGCTGCTGCTGCTGTTGTTGTTGTTGTTGTTGCTGCTGCTGCCGCCGTTGTCGTTGCCGTTGCTGTTGCTGTTCCTGCTGTTCCTGCTGGTGTTGCTGTTGCTGTTGCTGTTGCTGTTGCTGTTGCTGTTGCTGTTGCTGTTGCTGTTGCTGTTGCTGTTGCTGTTGCTGCTGCTGCTGCTGCTGCTGCTGCTGCTGCTGCTGCTGCTGCTGCTGCTCTTGCTGTTATTGCTGCTGCTGCTGCTGCTGCTGCTGCTGCTGCTGCTGCTGCTGCTGCTGCTGCTCTTGTTGTGGTGGTTGTTGGTTATTGTGGTTGTTGGTTGGTGGTTGTGGGTTGGTGTTTGTTGGTTGTTGGTTGTTGGTTGTTGGTTGGTGGTTGTTGGTTGATGTTTGCTGGTTGTTGGTTGTTGGT